TATTCTATTCTATTCTATTCTATTCTATTCTATTCTATTCTATTCTATTCTTACAAGAGTTGTTCTACACGTGCTTCGGATTGAGTCAAGATGCAGACAGAAGAAAGGGGGGGTGGTAGCGTTCAGATGAAGATTTTGCCCTCCCTCCCTCCGGGGATTTTAAACCTGACTTGGGAGTTGGCCGGAAGGAGAGCCAGGCGCGCGTAAACCCGTGCGGGGCAGAGGGCGCGCGCGCCTCCCGATACCTTATAATCCTGGGCGGCCTCTTCAATGGGGAAGACCGTGTGGCTCCGGTGAGCCCGCGCCTCTCTGCAGATACAACAGATGAGGCTTTCCTCCTCGCTGCAAAAGAGCTTCAGCGCCTCCTGATGCTTTTCGCACAGCGGCCTCCCCTCTCCTTCTTCTTGCCCGGCGGCCCCTTGCAAGGCGTGCAAGCTCAGCCTCCGGGTGATTTCCACCACGTTTCCCAGCTCCCGGTTGGGTCTGAAATTCCTCTGCAGGGCAATTTCCCGGCATTGCGGGCAGGAGAAATTGGTGCTTTGGTCCTTCCAGCACTGGGTGATGCAGGCGCGGCAAAAGCTGTGGCCGCAAGCAATGGAAACCGGGTCTCGGAAATATTCCAGGCACACGGAGCAAGTGGCTTCCTTGTGCAGGCTTTCCACCGGGTTCTCCATGGTGACCGAGGGACCCCTCCACTTTCCTTGTCCCGGATCGACTGAACCGATAGCGCTAGCGGATGAACCGAGCTACGGAAAGAATGGCTCTGATCTGCGCGCTCCGCCCGCCGGAGAAACGTCACCTTCTCCGTGCTGCCGCCGAAGGGGGCCTTGGTCAGTCCGTCTATTCACCCTGATTTCCAAAATCGGGGCGGAAGGGGCAGGAGGCGCAAGCCGCTGCAATCGCCCCTCCTTGAGTTCAATCAGGCGCGTCTGGAACAAGGCCCGAAGCCTGCAAAGCATCTCTTCGCGGAAACTCTCGGAGCGGAACTGCCTCGGTTCCGCACGGCCGGTGCCAATGGCTCGCACCGCCAGTGAAGCAGCCGCGCTGGGGAGGTCTGGGGTGGGCTGATCCTCTTTGAGAGCCCCCAGAGGAAGAGCTAGGTAGACGTCAAGCCGTTACCCGTTTAGGCGGCTGCGCGTTCCTGTCCCCCATCCCGTCTGCCTGCTTGAAAATGGGGATGGAGGGAGTGGTGGTGGTCAAGAGAATGGCAAATTGCATTCAGAACAGCCAGAACAGAATAATAGAGTTGGAAGGGAACTTGGAGGTTTTCTAGTCCAACCCTCTGCATAAGCAAGAGAGATGTACTATTTCAGACAATTAATAGATTAACATTAACAGAGTTGGAGGGGAGCTCATAGGTCATCTAGTCCAACACCCACCCACCCCACTCAAACAGGAGACCCTAAACCATTTCTGGAAAATGGCAGTCCAATTTCTTCTTGAAAGTCTCAAGTGATGAGGCCCCCACAACTTCCGAAGGCAACTTCTGTTCCATAGGTTGATTATTCTCACTGTCAGAAAGTTCCTCCTTATTTCTAGGTTGAATCTCTCCTTGGTCAGTTTCCATTTTTCAAGCTTTGAAAAATAGCTTGACCCCTCTTCTCTGTGGCAGCCCCTCAAATATTGGAACACTGCTCTCATGTCTCCTCTGGTCCTTCTCTTCACTAGACTAGCCATGCCCAGTTCTTGCAACCATTCTTCATATGTTTTAGTCTCCAGTCCCCTAATCATTCTATTTGCTCTTCTCTGCACTTTTTCTAGAGTCTCCACATCTTTTTTATAGTGTAATGACCATAACTGGATGCAGTACTCCAGGTGTGTTCTTACTAGGGCTTTATAGAGTGGTATTAGTACCTTACTTGATCTTGATCCCTCTATTAATGCAACTTAGGATTCCATGAGCTTTTTTGGTTGCCACTGCACACTGGTGGCTCATATTTAGCTGGTTGTCCACTAAGATTCCAAGGTTCCTTTTGGCAGCCCAATTGGCAATCCAGTCTGTTTCTAAAAACCTCAAGTGATGAAGCACCCACAACTTCCGAAGGCAAGCCTTCCACTGGTTAATTGTTCTCACTATTAGGAAATTTCTCCTTAGTTCTAGGTTCCTTCATTCCTTCCTCAGATGTGGGCGGGGAGATTGGGGGAGACCTCTTTCAACAGTGCTAATAGGGGGGCAAGAAGAAGTATGTAGTTGTTGGAGAAAAATCTGTCAGGGGAAAATTCTGTTCCATCCCATTTGCAATTTATAGGTTTTCTCTCCCTTCTCACATTAGGGTCCATTTTGGCTACTCAAGCAGGACACTACTGTTCTTCAATTTTTCACCATTTCAAGATTTGCCCTACCACTTTAGTGTAGTGGTTAACATGCCGGCCTAGAACCAGGAGACTCTGAGTTCTAGTCCTGCCTTCAAAACAAATTGGGTGAATTTGAGCCAGTAAGTTACTCCTCTCTCTCAGCCCAATCTACCACACAGGGTTATTGGAAAAATAAGGGGCGGAAAGAGCGTTAGGTATTTTTGCTGCCTTGAATTGTTTATAAATAAATAAAGGCTTTGCAAAGACAGATCAAGTACGTTGATACATTCAAGCAATTAATCCATGAGCAAGATACACAGGAAGTAGTGTATTTATAGCCAAGCCTCATGAAAATACAAAATTATTAATGTGATTGGTTACAGATTAATTATAAAAATACTATGTTTTAAAATAGACCCAAATTGCTGTGATGTACCCACTAAATGTTGAACTGCAGCTTTGGCAAATTCTGACCAACTTTATCTTGAAGTGTGAACAGAATATTGAAAATATTCTGGTGTGTCTATTTGCTTCTAGGCTTGCTAAATATTTACTTAAAACCTTATTATTAGAGGAGTGGCTTAAATCCTTTCATATTTCTTCTTTAGCCAGGAAGCTGGAGTTCTGCCAATCAGCCCGAACAAAACCTCTTATTATAGAATAGGGCTGGGACCATCCTGACTTTTGATGCATGAATTGAATTGAATTGAATTTATTATATTTCTATGCCGCCCTTTTCCCTGAAGGGGACTCAGTGTGCTGGAATCAGCACTTCCAGCACTTCCTGCTATTTCCATTAAATTATTTCTTTTTGGGTTCTTGTTTGAGCCCAAAATACATGGCTCGGCACTTTCCATGTCGGATTTTAATTCTCTAACTACTTTTCTCTCTCTCTCTTTTTTCCCACAGGAAACTCTGAAGTCTTCAAAAGTTTCATTAATCTTGTTACTGTTTGTGGACTTTTTTTTTAGTGAAAACAGTGACAACATAGCACTGTTTCCCCAGAGGAATATCTAGCAACAGCGGCAGAAAGAAACTGTTTAGCACAGACAGCCATCATGTCCACAGAGGAATTGACAAGAAGACTTAAGGAAGAACTGATCTGCTCCATTTGCTTGGACTGTTTCCATGATCCAGTCTCCATACACTGTGGGCACACCTTCTGCCAAGCTTGCATTACTGGATACTGGGTTTTCATTAACAAAAAATGTTTCCACTGTCCTAAGTGTAGAAAAACCAGCCGGAAAAAAATCCTAAAGCGCAACCGAGAGTTAGGAAACATTGCCAAAATTGTCCCAAAGCTGGATGAAAAAACCAAAGAAAAAGAAAAGGCAAAAGAGAAGGTCTGCCAGATGCACCAGGAACCGCTGAAACTTTTCTGCAAAAATGATCAAATGGCGATCTGTGTGATTTGTGACAAATCGAAAGAGCACAAGGACCATACAGTGGTTCCTGTGGAGGTAAGATCAAACAATGTTAGGTGGCATATTTCTTGCTGTGAGGGCTAAAATGTAGGCCACTTTTTCATGTATTCTTCATTTGTTGTCTGACATGTTTGGTATACTAGCTTCGTGGCTCTCTGAAGATTGGGGAAAAAATAGAGGTTGTTTGGTTGGTTGGCAGTTAGTAAATGAAGAATCAGTAAATTTATTATTTTTCACCTTTCTACACTGATAATCTCACCTGTGACTCAGGCATGAAAGGCTATGATCTTCGCTACCAGTTTGGAACTGGGAGCAGGCGCGCACACACTTCACGCGCACACTTCTGTGCATGCATAGAACCTGCGCATGCGCAGAGCATCCATGGTGACATCTGGGCAGGTGGGCAGAACATCCTGCCGCCACCACTACCAGTTCGCCCGAACTGGGGCAAACCAGCAGAATACCACCTCTGCTGTGACTGGGATGTTTATAAATAAACACAATGTTTACTATGTTACTGTCAGGGTTCCAAATAACATCCAAAATTAAATCAGAGTCCAAGGCAAAGAATTGCTCAAAGTTCCAATTTATTAAGAGAGCCATGTTGGCACATCTGTGAAAACGTGAATCTGAGCTTCCTGGTTTTCTCCACCCAGTTGAAAGTTCAAGATCTTGCCCCCCACACCCACCAGTCCATCACATGGTCCAATCTTCCACTGCCATGCTGGCAGTTCCACCCATCCATTTCCAGTCAGGTGCAGGGGTGTAGAGACAAAGGCTGACGTTCGATTCTAGAAAGGAATGTTTTGTTTTGACAACAACACATTCTACTCCTTACTATTCCCCCTCCCAATTCCCCACTAATGAAACAGCATAGTAAAATAGAATATTAGTGTGGCAGGCCAAAGATCCCAAAAGGAACCGGCTGCAGGCCTGACAGTTACATAATAAGTTAGTACAAATTAATATGCCTCTCAAGGGGATAATTTGGTGAGGGGAGGACTCCATACAGCCCTTCTTTGTGATGAAATTGATAGTCAGCAACTGTCTTGCCATGTTATATAATTGCCAGATTACAGAGTGCTAAACAGTCATGTAATCATATTTTGTGTGCTTGGCAGCCCACTTGAACGTATGACCACAGTGGTGACTAACTCCCTCAACCCGCTTATCTCTCACCCATCTCTGCACTTTTGGCACCCTACACAGTGATACTCCTTGGAGGTGGTGACAGCACTGGGACCGAAGGCCCAGGCTCTTCAGCAGTCTCAGCCACCTGCCACATTTGTTCCTCAGGGCATCTACTTTAGCTCGAATACTGCCAGGGACAACTACTGCTCTACTCTCTGCCAGTCCCATCATGCCCAGCTGACTTTCACCATCCTTTTCTTCCTGCTGACAGAATATGTTGCTTGGAAAAGATGCTGTGAGCTCCTTGGGATTCAATGATGAAGACATTTATCCATGGCAAAAGTTGTGTTGGCAGGAGAGGGAGAATATTACTTTCAAATTGGAACAGCTGAGCATGATGGTTGCCTTAGCTCTGTCTTGGGAACCAGACAAATGCCACAACATATACAGAAAAAGCAAGAATCAAGATCTATTTTGCAGGGACATATATAATACCCTAAGAAAGGAGCAAATGACTATGAAATAGAGCGCAGAGTGAGTTCTGCTCTGTTTTTCTTCTTTGCATTTTCTTTGCAGTGCTCAGTGCTGGTTTTTTTCACACATGGAACACCTAAAAAAAATTAAGTGTCTGTTTAATGCTGTATGAAAACACTTTTCAAAAGACGAAGGCAAGGAATTACAGCCTGTCCTTGTGATCTGCAACAAAACTGTCCAGGCCCTTTTTTGTTTTATCATCAATTTTGCTGCCAAAGTTTCTTCTAGTGATCTTGGGGATTCTAGTTTGGGGATAATGTAGACCAAATTTTCCCGCAGTTGCTTTTGGTCTTCAATAATCTCCCAGGTGTTGGCAATCTTGGCTGGTGGATTTCAAGAACTGAACTTCAGAACAGGCTTAACTATTCACAGTTAAAGTTCATGATTTATGCCTTAGCAGGTTTATAGTTTCTATGTTATTCTTGAAAGTTGGACATTGAGATTGATTAAGTCTGGAGTGCAGATATATTGAAGTAGTGACTGGTTTAATCTTAAATGTGCTAGATCAGGTGTCAGCAACCCGCGTGCTGAGTGCGGAGCCGCATGTAGCTCTTTTGTTCCCCTGCTGTGGCTCGCTGTCAGCTGAACCCACCACTGGTTGGCCCCGCCCCTCTTCTTCCCCTTCCAGTCATTGCTCACCTGGCCTGAGAGAGAGAGAGAGAGATAGGTGGAGAAAGAGATAGAGAGAAAGAGACAGAGAGAGACACACAGAGAGATACTTAGTTCTCACAGAAAAGAAAAAACACTGGGAGTCACAAAACCTGGGTAGGCATAGCTGAGGGGGTCATGTGACTGGGTGGGAGTGAGTGACATTGAGTTGGCCACACCTACCCAGGTTTTGTGGCTCCCGGTGTTTTCTTTTCTGTGGGAAATGGGTCCAAATGGCTTTTTGAGTGTTTAAGGTTGGAGACACCTGTGCTAGATGGAAAACTCAGCTCAAGAATAATTAGCTGGATTAAGATGCTCCATAAAGGGAGGATAAGAGCTTGTTAAAGATTCATTTTGTAGGTATCTAAGACCACAAGATACATTAAATCGGAATACTGTTCTTTATTTAGCAAGAATTCCAGGACCAACTGTCATTTTTGAAGACAAACAGAGAAAAACTTGTTAAAATTCAGTCAGTGAATACAGCGAGGAACAAAGGAGCCCTGGTAGGTTCTTCAATTTATCTACTGGCAAACTGGAATTTGTCCTCAATCTGTCTTTTAGAGCAGTAACCATATTTCCCTGCTGGAATTTATTGCAGAATACAATCGATGCTGGGATTCAGAAAATATCATTGGCCTTTAAGCAGATTAATCAATCCCTTAAGGAACAGAAGCAGCAGCTGCTGGCCCAGTGGAACTCACTCAAGGCAGCACTTAAGGAACAAGAAATTCATAATGCCACAATTTCAGAGGAAATTTCTTGCCTTGATAGCTTCATCACTATGGCAGAAGAAAGATGGTCAATACTAGACCTTGAGTTTTTACAGGTTAGAAAGTGGACATTATTTTCTTCTGGGGTAAATAAGGGTTATCCAGTGGTGAAATCCTCCAAAGTCTGCTACCGGTTAGGTGAGTCTGCTACTGAGCGTGTGCTATGCACGCATGCACCCCTGAGGTGCGCCCGCGCAGTGGAAAAAAGGAACATTTTGAAGCCTTCAGAGTCTGCAAAGGTTAGTAGAACAGCGGGAGGGGGGTGGAGGATCTGCTGTGCCATGTGATTTAGATTAGCTAGAAAGCAGGAAATTCAACAATTCTAACTAATATAAATCGCACGTCACAGCTGATCATCGGAAATACCAGTTCGCCCGAACCAATAGCATTTTTTTTACTACCGGTTTGGGCGAACCGGTAGCATTTCACCCCTGGGGTTATTTTACCAAAGATATGGTGGGAGTATAGCTCTAATATAGTTCTTGAAATCTAGGGAACAAGAAACAGATAGTCCTCGGTTTATGGTAGATCTCTCTTTCCCAAACTAGTCCCATTAGACGTATTGGTTTTGCATATTCCTAGTAACATGACCAGGAAGGTGGCTTGGGAGTGGGGGGAGGCAAAATTAGATAAAAGTAGCTTAACAAAATCATTGCTTCCCATATGGGATACCTGTGAGAGAGGCTCATAAAGTGATATATGTCAGGAACAACTCAAAGAAATAGTGCAATATTGAAAGATGTGGAGAGACCAGGCCCATAGAATAGTTAAAAGTCAGATGTGATTAAATAGATAACATCATCATATGGTAGAAAAAATTGGCTTCCTCTCCCATATTTCTGATACAAGGCTGGATTCACACATTGTTTTGACTAATGATTGTGGTTTTTAGATTATGATTGACAGTGTTATGGCTTGTTCTATAAACCACAGTTAAAACTAGGCAGTTTATGTGCTAATGAAAATAGACACTGGTCCTTGAAATGGCATCATCCACATAAAAGAAAGGGTATCAGAAAGGCTTATGGCAGTGTTTCTCAGCCTTGGCAATTTTAAGATGGGTGGACTTCAACTCTTAGATTTCCCAAGCAAGCATTGAAGAGTTGAGGTCCATCCATCTTAAAGCTGCCAAATTTGAAAGCACTGGCTTAGGGGAAGGTGAGAACAAAATCAAAGGAGGCTTTACAGCAGTGATGGTATTCTGCCCGTTCTTACCGGTTCAGGCAAACCGGTAGTGGCGTCTGCTTGGAGGCTCCGCCCATCTGCCCCAACGTAATGTGCAGCCTTCTGCGCATGCGCGCTCACATTTGCAAACCAGTAGCGAAGGTAAGTGAATCCCACCACTGCTTTACAGGCTCAATAGCCACCACATGCTGAAGGTCTGTTAAAAGATAAATGAGAAGGCACATCCTGGGGAAAAATGAAATATCTTGGAAGACAGCTAGAGGCTCCAAATCACATGGCAATATTTTGTTGTAGACTTTGTATAACGTAATGCTAAAATACTTCTTATCTTTCCTTACCAGGAGATGCAGAATGCATCAATGAGGTATTTGACTTTTTTGTCTTCTGATTTGTGCTGGATTATCTAAGAAAGGCATAAAATGGAAACTAAAATGAAAGCCGATGAGCAAAACAATGGGGCCATCAGCTCATTATAAGCGCTGTCCCTTCTTAAGTATAATAAGATAGAAGCTGCTCTCCTATTGTTGAAACTAATCAAAGAGAGAACCAACCTAGAACTAAGGAAAAATTTCCTGTCAGAACAATTAACTAGTGGAATGGCTTGCCTCCAGAGGTTTTGGGTGTTACAAAACTGGAGGTTTTTAAGAAGAGATTGAACAACCACTTGTCTGAAATGGTATAAGTTGGCCTGTTTGAGCAAGGGGATGGATTAAAAGACCTTCATGGTCCCTTCCAGCTCGATTGATTGATTGAATTCTTGGCTTTAGGGTACGGTTTATGCTGGATCTGCCAACCAGGAAACTAGATCAGAAATATATAATTTATATACTTGCCTTCTGTTGTGGTTGACACAAGCAGCTGATCCATTGCAGTCTACAACTCTCCTTTCCACAGTTCACAAAGGCCCTGTAATTAGGAGTTCACAACATTGATGGCTACCATTTTGAGATGGGGAAATCAAGTACAAACTAGAGTGTAAATCCATGGGCAAAAACTGTGTAACCCAATAAACTTTCCCTAAAACCCAACTCCTCATCTTTATTTGGCCTGACCTAGTATTCAGCCCTCTCCAAGTACTCCAAATACTCCATAATATCTTTGATCAAGCAGCAAGTTTGATGCTTTATGATTTCCTGATATATTTCAGGGCAAAAATGATACAGTCTGTATAGGCCCCTTTCACCTTAAAATCTTCCACCTAGTCTGCCTATACAAATGTTTCCTTTGTATTTTAGGTTAAAGCAAAAGAAGGTTTTGGGATTCGATGAACTTCTTCCTGAAATGGAAAACCGGCTTGCTTATCAAAATGAGGTTGTCACAAGTACCTTGCGGAAATTGGAAGGTATGAGCTTAGCAGATATTTAAATTTACATTTAGGACCAAGTTTTTAAACAGAGAGGTACATTCCATGCAGTTGAAACAGAAAGGAACCTTACATGCATGTTCCTAAAAGTATTGATTTGTTTGGCTATACTCTAGTTCCCTGATGACCTATGGCATGCAGAGCCATCTCTCTGGGCACACCAGCCGTCTCCCGTTGCTCTTCCAGCTGGTCTTTGTGCACACAGGAGTGCCTGAAACCAGAAGAGCAGCTCTCTGGTGGCCATGCGCCTCCTGGGAAGCTTCACACATGCATGCTTGCCAGAAATTAAAAGACTAGGTGACCAGCGTGCATCTGCACTCCTGTAACCGGAAGCTCAGCTTCCCAGTGCGTGCATGTGTGCCGGAGAACTGCTCTTCCGGTTTCTGGCACTCTCGCTCGTCCACGCCAGGGAGCTGCTCGTCTGGTTTCTGGTGCTCCCCCCATGCACGCTCCTGTGTTGACACTCGGTACTGAAAAAGGTTCACCAACACTGCTCTAATTCCTGTTTCTGAAGACAGCATATATGTTTTGAAAGAGGAGAGTCCTGTCTTCCTATGAAGAGAACCTTTAAAGCAGCCTGAAGCACTAGGGCAAGAGAGAGACTGGGAAACAGAAGGTGAATAACAGCAGTCCGAGCAATACAGCAAGTTTCTATTGAGGCTGTTCTCAATCAGAGGAGAAAATATTGACAAGATGCATGAGTGATTGAGATGAAGCTTGGGTCTATACATTGCTTTGAGCCACAATGTAGTTTAATATGTGAGAACCCAGCCAATTATGATGGTTAAGGTGTAATGGTTAAGGCACCAGACTAGAAACCAGGAGACAGAGTTCTAATCACACCTTGGCTATGAAAGCCAACTGTATGACTTTGGGCCAGTCTCCCTTCTGCACAGGATTGTTGTGGAGGAGAAAATAGGAGGACAAAAGAGTATTAGGTATGTTTGCCATCTTTAGTTATTTATACAAATGATAAAGGGGGAATATAAACAAATTCCGTAAAAATATGTATTTGTATACGGCCCATTATAGACACCAGCAAGCAAGCCAAATGTACACACCAAAACAATGAATACTATTCTCCTTTATCAGATGCATGAACAGCAGCAATGTGTGAAAAGGATGGAATCAGGATTAAAGGAGAAAAGGAAGTCACATTTATGTAGTTAGATTTGACCTGGATCAATGGAAGGGTTAAGGAATGGCAGCGGACAGAGATGTGAGGTGTAGAAAAAGAGAGAGTTATACATATCTGAGGTATGTATGTATGTATGTATGTATGTATGTATGTATGTATGTATGTATGTATGTATGTATGTATGTACGGACAGACAGATGATAGCCATGGTGGTGCAGTGGTTAGAGAGCAGTACTGCAGGCTACTGCTGATCACCAGCTGCCAGCATTTTGGCAGATTGAATCTCACCAGGCTCAAGGTTGACTCAGCCTTCCAACCCTCCGAGGTGGGTAAAATGAGGACCCAGATTGTTGGGGGAAATATGCTGCCTCTGTAAACCGCTTAAAGGGGGCTGTAAAGCACTATGAAGCGGTACATAAGTCTAAGTGCTATTGCTATATATATTACATCAGTGCTAGAAGAGAGTAGGGTTTACTGTCTACTTATATAGCTTGTCTTGTTAATGTTGGTGGGAGTGTTCTTGGTAGTTCCCTGATTAGGCTGTTGTTTGCTGTGTGAAAAAAAAGAAAATATAGCTGATTGATCTATTAGAATAGATAAGGCCTATATAAATGTAATAGGGCTAAAGAAAACAGGATTTTTTTTGTTTCCACCAGATGCTCTAATATCTGCTAAGAGGGAAAAGTCAAACTCTCCTATTGCAAAAAAGAGGAAATCAGAATCCCATAGCCGAGAGAGCAGAATGCATTCCTCATCATCTCATCAGCCTGATAAAAGGGCACCAGTAGGAGATAGTAAGTGCATGACAATGGTTTCTCTCTGTATTTTGTCCAATGTTCTCAATTTCCATTTAAAAACAAATCACACAAATGTACCTTTGATAAAAACAATGGATACAAAGGCTAAGTTCCCCATTTTTGTTATGCTCCCCTCCAGCTTAATGTAATTGTGTATGGTAATTATATCTGCAGACATTATCAACTGATACTATTATTGAAAACTGGTATAAAGGAAATATTTTTATCTCCTTAAATATTGGAACCAGTGTCTATAGGGAAAAAAGTTATAATAATCAGCTTTCAGCAGGGCTTCAGGTGCTACAAAATAAATCCGTATGTTTCTGCCTTTCTAATGCTCTTTTGTCTCTTTTTTGACTAATTTAACATGAAGAAACGTCAAAAATAATCTGTGTCCACTATCCTGGGTGGAATGATGTACAAATTATTATAGCGATATTTCAGCACAAGCAACACATCCCCTGTACTAGCTCCTATAATCAGAAGGTGTCCAAAAAGCCCAGTGATCAGTTGATATTGCTGATAGTTCTCTTTGATGTATCCTTGCAAAGTGTCTATGGAGATTCTTGGTCATCCTGTTCTTGGTTATTCCAAAGACAACTGGACTTTCTGGTTTTTCTTTGAAGATGTTTTGCTTCTTATCCAAGAAGCTTCTTCAGCTCTGACTGGATGGTGGGGAATGGATGGATTTATACTCCTTGCAGACACTTGGTCATTTGCATTCTTCTAGCCTTTGTTCATTGAGGAGTTGGAGCTCTGCTTTCTGCAGGATGTTTTCCGCTGAGTCCCTTCACTGTTGAGCACAGGTGCAGCCTGTTGGGGATGAGTCTGTCCTGTCTGCATCTCAAACTGAAGTGCAAATGGTTCCTGTAATCTGCAATTTTTCTGGAAATCCATTCATACCCCCTCACCATTGGAAGGGTGTTCATCCCAAAGTGTATCACTAAATGTCTATGGAAATTCTCAGCCATCCAGGTCATGGCAGGTGGGGACCCAAAGAAACATCTTTAAAGGAAAAACAGAAAGTCTAATTGCCACTTGAAAAAGTACTTTTGGGATATCCGTGCAAAGCCAAACAACGTGTTTGGGCTAAATTCAGCAATTGTTAAAACTCACCTGTTGTCCTAAGTCACCTTACCTTAAGAAAAGTGAGTCTGGTCATGTGGTGATCTGCTTTACAACCATCATCGCAACTTACAATGATAATGGGCAGGCTTCAGAGGTGGGTTGCTCCCGGTTCGGGCAAATCGGTAGAGAGCAGCGGGAGGCTCCACCCGCCCGCCCGGATGCTTCTGTGCATGTGCAGAAGCATCGTGCATGAGCGCGCGCACACAAGCATGAGCAAAATGGTAGTAAATCGGTTAGGAACCCACCACTGGCAGGCTTCATTACAATTGTAAGTCAATTATACTACCTGTACATCAGAAAACAGGCTAGTTTGGCTTTTATGAGCAGCTTAATAAGAACTATGAATGCCAGTAAAAATATTTATTTGTTTACAATACATTATAGACACAGAGATACACTAGCAAGCAAACCAAATGTACACAACAAAACAATAATACTATTCTCCTTTATCAGATTCATAAACAGCAGCAATGTGTGGAAAGGATGGAATCAGAATTAAAGGCAAAAAGGAAGTCATGTTTATATAGTTAGATTTGATGTGGATTAATGGAAGGGGTAAAGAATTGCAGTGGACAGAAATGTGAGGTGTAGAAAAAGGGAGAGTTATACATATATGAGATATGAATGGAAGGATGGATGATGTATGTATGTATGTACAGTATGTATGTATATTATATCAGTACTAGAAGAGAGTAGACTTTCCTGTCTACTTATATAGCTTGCTTTGTCTTTGGTAGTGGAAGTGTTCTTGGTAGTTCCTTGATTAGGCTGTTGTTCATTGTTAGTTTGTCTGAGTTCTTTCTTGATTAGGGTATTGTTTATTTCTTGATTTTTGGTAGAGTGTTAATATTGGTGTTAATCTCTGGTCATCTGATGTTGGTTGCTAACAGGGTGGTGTTTTGTTCTTTTTGTTTCCTTTTTGTTTTGTTTTTTATTGTCTCTTTTGAATGGTATGTAAATGTTATCCATCTCTATGTGCCTATTGATAGCTGATTTGTTTGAGTGCCAGGCTTTGCGGAATTCTCTAGCCTTTTGAGACTTGGCTTGGTGTATTATATATATTATACAGATATATTAACCCACTACCCTGTTTATTCTTGGATTCTTTTTTGTTTCCACCAGATGGTCTAACTTCTGTTAAGAAGAAGGAAGATTCAAACTCTCCTATTGAAAAAAAGAGGAGATTGGAAGACCAAGCTTTTGATTATAGCCCAGAGAGCAGAAAACCAATTCAGTGTCCACTATGCTAGGTGGAATTATGTACAAATTATTGTAGCGATACTTCAGCACTGTACTAACTTCTATAATATATAAAAAATGCTTCACATCTGTGTCAAATTGCCTGCTTTCCCCTTCCAAACAACTTCACTATTAAGCATCAATAAGAGAGTGAAGGGAAGATCAATATATAAAATCTTTAGGTTTGTCTTGTGCTTTTGGAGTTTTTTTCCCCCAGCAATCTCTTTTTTCAGCCACATGTTTATAATATTCTATTCATCTGATACCCAAGCAGCTTAAAGTTGTCCTGAGCTTCTAATATTAAAATAGCTTTTTGTTCTTTAAGCACAACAGGAGCTGTGGCACTTTTGCTGTGGTTGCAATCTGATCTATTTCATCAGCCCCTCATTTGGTGTTACAGCCAGGATTAGAAGTTGATGTAGCCAAGCAGCACATACAAGTAGGCCTCGACATACGGCCATTTATTTTGTGACTGTTCAAAGTTGCAGTGACACTTAAAAAAACAGACATATGAGTTTGCATTTACTACTATTAGTGTCCCCACAGCCACATGACCAAATGCAAGCACTCGTATTTACAATATCTGCAATGTCCCAGGATCCTTTAATTGCCATTTGGGACCTTTCCAGCTTACTTCTGAAAAGCAAAGTCACTCGGAGAACTGGATTCACTTAATGACTGCATGATTCACTTAATGACCATGACAAAAACGGTTTGAAATTGGGTGAGGTTCTCTCCACTGTAATTTAGAATAGAATAACAGAATTGGATGGGACCTTGTAGTCCAAGCCCCTGCTTAGGCAGGATAACCATTTAGGTCTCTTCTTAAAAACTTGCAGTGTTGGAGCATTCACAACTTCTGGAGGCAAGTTATTGCACTGATTAATTGTTCTAACTGTTACAAAATTTCTCCTCAGTTCTAGGTTGATTCTCTCCTTGATTAGTTTCCACCCACTGCTTCTTGTCCTGCCCTCAGGTGCTTTGGAGAATAGCTTGACTCCCTCTTCTTGGTGGCATGGATATTGGAACACTGCTATTATGTTCACTTAATATCTGCCTTACTTTGTAATGAATGTCTCAGTTGTGGTTCTAAGTCAAGGACTACCTGTAGTAGTCAGGTTAGGCTGATGTAGGCCATGTCCCTTCCTCTCCCCTCCTAATGTGTCTTCCAGGTCACTCTCCTTTGGGCAGTGGGAGAGTCCTATTTTGTCCTCACCTGTTAGATCACTCAGCCAACCCTCAGTTCAGAAACAAGGATCAATCTAAACAGCATCAAGCAGCACTGGGATAAACATTGCACATTGCAGCTCTCTGAGGCATTACAGGTAGTCCTCGACTTACAACCACAAGTGATCCAGAGGTGGGTTTTGGTTTCTTTTACTGCCGGTTTGCTCAGGGATGCGCTTTGGGCGCCCGCGCATGTGCAGAAGTAAAAAAATTGCTTCTCTGCATGCGCAGAAGCAACAAAACAAGATGGAGGTGCCTATGGCGCTGCCGATAGAACCAGTTTGGACGCATGTCTGGGCAAGTTACTACCCATTCGGCCGAACTGGTGGGACCCCCACCTCTGAATTTATCCCAAAATTTCTGTTGCTAATGAGATATTATGTGAATTTTGACCCATTTTACAACCTTTCTTGCCACAGTTGTTAAACGAATCATAGCAGTTGTTAAGTTAGTAACATGGCTGTTAAGAGAATCTGGCTTTCCCGTTGACTTTGCATATCAGAAGATCACAAAAGGTGATCACATGACCTCAGGACACTGCAACCCTCATGAATATGAGTCTCTTGCCAAACGTCTTAATTTTGATCATGTGACCATGGGGATGCGGCAAGGGTCATAAGTATGAAAAATAATCATGTCACTTTTTTTCAGTGCTGCTATAACTTTGAACAGTCACTAAATGTACAGTTGTAAGTCAGGGACTACCTGTATTATACAAACTCTTCCCACACCTGCCAGCTCTTACCCAAGCTGCTTTTGAGCATAGGTTTAACGCTACTTTGAAATAGCACCAAAATGCGAGCACATGGGCCACCTGCCATAAAAGTGCCTTTAGTTTAGGGCATATGTTTTGTGCAGTCACTTGGACTGAGTTTAGTGGCATTTCAGAATACTGCTAATCCAGTAGTGCTCAACCAATATCCCAATGAAAATTTCTTTTTATGTAGTCAGTGAAAAATCATAACAAATTTGACCATTGCAGAAACAAAGGACTGATAGAAACAAGAACTCGTGTTCAAAATAAGAGTCTATTATATAGAGTAGAATAACAAAGAAGCATAAGAACATTTAAATATTGTTTCTTTATATTTTTTCTTAAAGCACTGCAGTCAATACAATTCTTTAATTATGGCTTGCCATTTTTCTTCAATAAAGATTACCAATGATGAATTTATGAGAATTTGTCTAATTTGTTCATGTCCTGTTTATCAGATGATCTCAAAAAAGCCCAGTGATCAGTTGATATTCCTGATAGTTCTCTTTGATGTAGCCATGCAAAGCCAAACAATGTGTTTGGACTAAATTCAGTAATTGTTAAAAATCACTTGCTGTCCTAAGTCAGCTTACATTAAGAAAAGTGATTGACGGGTGTTTTCCTGCTAGCTGCTGAGTTGGTGGGTGAAGGTGAGAAATGTCATGGGAACCTACCTGCCTTTGATATGCAATGTTCTCCAGGGCAGAGGTCCCTGAGCCCTGAACTGAGGAATTGTATTGGTCCATAGCCTGTTAGGAACCAGGCTATGCAAGTGAGGAATTTATGTCAAGGGCATTACTCTTCAGGAACAGTAAACAAATTCCTGCTTGAGAGTTTCTCTAAAAAAAAAAAAAGCAGGAACATAGAATTCTTAACTCCTACATACCATAGGAGTAATGGCAATCTATGTTTAAGACTATATATATACACACACATGCACGCACATGCACACACACACACACTCTTCCCATGCCAGATGGAGTATAAATAAAGCAGGGAGATTCTGGGTGTGCCAAATCAGTTCATCTTATAGCTTTGCATCAATAACTTTGTTAGGGAAGAAAGCAAGAAATTCCTAGACTGGATAATTCAGAAATTGTGTTAAAAGGCATTGCAGTATTTTTGTAGAGAAAACCAGAAATCAAACCCAATGTTACCTTGTTGCACAACTGATAATAATACACAAGTTACGTCTGCTTTTGCATTTGATTCCTTAAGGCATCTGCTCTGATATTTTTCTTCTCTTAACATCCATATTCACTGAATGCATTTAGACCTCATTTGGCTGTTCAGGATAATTTATCTTAAACTCTTTATGCTTTAGCAAACCTTGCAGTTCTTCCTGGCCTCCTGATATATCATCTTGTGGAATAGGTACTGGTGTGTGTGTGTGTGTGTATTCTTAGACATTGATTGCCATTACTATGTAGGAGTTAAGAAATTGCATTTCTACTTCCACATTCCTGCTTAGAAGCACTTAAGTAGGAATCTGTTTACTGTTCCTGAATAGTAATGCCCTTGACATAAACTTATATCTCGGTTTTAACTATATTAAGCCAATGTTATCTGTCTTGAATTACAAAAGGTTAGCTAAACTGGGATTTTATATATTCCTTCAAATGCCATTAAATGCAAAGTCTTCCTTCAGTTGTAGCAGTCCCAATTCTGAGCAGTTAAAAAGGATCCTCTAAGGCAGTGTTTTTCAACCACTGTGCCCTGGCACACTAGTGTGCCGTGACATAGTGTAAGGTGTGCCGTGGGAGAATTACTTTATATATAATCAATATAGGCACAGAGTTAAATTTTTTTAACATTTTCTAATGGTGGTGTGCCTCGTGATTTTTTTCATGAAAAAAGTGTGCCTTTGCACAAAAAAGGTTGAAAAACACTGCTCTAAGGGACGTCATAGGTCTATAAGCTATAGCACGGGTGTCAAACTCGCCGCATCACGGTGCTGTCACATGACGTTTTGTGATATTTTCCCATTTGCGGAGCTGGGGTGGGCGTGGCCTGCGTGTAACGCATCCAACCCGCATCCCACCAGTTTGACACCCCTGGGCTGTAGCATATGATGTGGCACCAATTCAAGTCTACATAAATTTGGGGCTAAGTCTAAATTACAAAGCATTTTGTTCCCTCCTGTTTTTTTCTTCTTCTACCACCACCTTTCCATATTACTTTGTACAATAAAAGTACTGGTGAAAAGGCAAAAATACAAAACATCCTCTATCAAGATCACTGCCCCAAAGCAAAGGACCCACTGATGATTTAAAAATAATAATCAGGAAGTTGGTTTGTCATTCTGCTTTCAGCAAAGTTAGCTCTCCTGCAGCACCACGCCCACAAGGCATCTGGGCTACATTTCTGGGCTTAACTCCGGGATTGGGCGGCCTATAAATCTACTTAATAAATAAATAAAATAAATAACTCAAATTACAAGCTTGACTTCCTTCTTGCCACAAAATGTGTGTGTTTGGAATAAGTTCAACTTCCTTCTCAGAGCCTGCAGGGACTTAATTTTTTCAAGCATGCCCTGAAGACGCCTTTCTAAGGAACACCAGAGCATGGAAGAAAGTGACACATCCAGGCAGAAAAAAAGATTTATGGGTTCTCTCACAGAAAGAAACATGAAAACAAGTCTTCTGAGACAGTGGAATGACCAAGTTTTGTCTCCCCTGCCAGGAAAGTTTCAAAAATCCTATTTTATTTATTAAATTCATCTGCTGCCCATCTCACTGTCAGAATGACTCTAATCAATCCACCGTAGAGACAGTTTCTGCCAAAGTTGCATTGTCTAGTGCAAGTAGCCCTTGTTTAGTGACTGCCTCATTTAGCAACCTTTGAAGTTATAATGGTGATGAAAAAAATAACTTTACAACTGATCCTCACATTTATGACCTCTGCAAATATATGTGCATAATTTTTGTATGTATATATGTAGGTAGGTAGGTAGATATGTATGTATGCATGCATGCATCTATCTATCTATCTATCTATCTATCTATCTATCTATCTATCTATCTATCTATCTATCCTGAGTTGGCTTGAAACTCAAGATTAAAAAAACTAAGATCACGCCATCTGGCCCTCTCAATTCCTGGCAAATAGATGCGGAAGAAATGGAGGTAGTGACAGATTTTATTTTCCTGGCTTCCAAGATGCAGATGGGGGACTGCAGCCAAGAAATTAAAAGACGCTTGCTCCTGGGGAGGAAAGCTATGGCATATCTAGACAGCATACTAATAAGCAGAGACATCACCTTGCCAACAAAAGTGTGTATAGTCAAGGCTATGGTTTTCCCAGTGGCAATGTATGGCTGTGAAATTTGGACTATAAGGAAGGCTGAGAGCCAAAGAATTGAGGCCTTTGAACTATGGTGTTGGAGAAGACTCCTGTGAGTCCCTTGGACTGCAAGGCCATCCAACTGGTCAGTCCTAGAGGAAATCAACCTTGACTGCTCTTTAGAAGACCAGATCCTGAAGATGAAACTCAAATACTTTGGCCACCTAATGAGAAGGAAGGACTCACTGAAGAAGAGCCTAATACTGGGAATGACTGAGGGCAAAAGAAGGAGGGGACAACAGAGAATGAGGTGGCTTGATGGAGTCATCGAAGCAGTCAGTATGAGCTTAAATGGACTCCAGGGGATGGTAGAGCACAGGAAGCCTGGAGGAACGTTGTCCATGGGGCCCCGATGGGTTGGACACGACTTCGCAATTAACAACAATCTGTCTGTCGTCTATCTATCTATCTATCTATCTCTACCCATCTTGTCATGTTTACGTAGTTTATACTGAAGGTGATGACCCTTTGAGAGCTGTATGCAACATCATTTCGTTTTAATGTATGCGGATCAGCGTACATTCAAAGTGACAATTATTCTAATTGTTATTCTAAGTCTAAATTGCGACTTCAGTCGGCAGAAAATCCCCGCTAGGCTCTTTCAAGTTGCCCACCGCGCACCGCCTCTCTTAACAGCGTTCAAATAGAGACCGGGGCTAACATTTGGCACACGCTTCCCGGGCCGTTCACACACGCCAGAGGGCCCCTTCCACCAATCAGACGCGAGAGACTCGGGAACACGACTCCTCCCATCGGCCAGGTTGGTTGGAAGAAAACGAAAGTTATCTAGGAAATTTGGGGCGTTTGAAAGCGAAACGCTCCTCTCCGACCCCCGCCTTGCACCGTTTTCGCCCTCCGGAGTGTTGCAGAGGAGCTGGCTGGAGAGGTGGAGGTCCCTGCCTAGGTGTTGCTCATCCAGACCATGGGGGATCTGGGGAGACTCGGGTCTCAGAACAGCCCTGAAAAACGAACCTCCGAGTCGAGGGCGTCGGAAGGGCTGCATCTGCAAGCCGTCGAAGGGTTGTGGGGAGAAGCCCTCTGTGAGAAACATCGCGAGCCCCTCAAGGTTTTCTGCTGGGAGGACCGCGACCTCATGTGCTTGGTATGCGACAAATCCAAGAAGCACCGAGCCCACTTGGTACTTCCCGCCGAGGAGGCAGCTCAAGAATACAGGGTAACGAATTTACTTTTAGCTGGCGTAGGGGAGGCGGTTGCTGTCACTCTTCCCTGTTTGAGGCGGTGGACTTCTGCCCTGCTTGCAGGCACCTTGAGAGCCCTCCTCCTGAACTTGTGCGTTGATTGGATACCTCTAAAAAAACCTGACATTGCACAATATTCTTAATTCTAAAGCCATTTGAACAACACTACTAATGTAAATATGTGCAGTGCAACCCAACCACCCTATTAGGGTTTAATGTGATGGGGAAGGCAGCAGCTGGATTCCCCAGGACTGACTGTATGCCAGATTATGCCTAGGGTACTGTGCAAACCCAGTTTAATTATTCTAGCTCCCCCCCCCTTGGAAACTTAGACTGATGCCCTTAAGAATTGGTGCCCTAGAATTGGTTCCTTCAGCCCCCCAATAGAATCAGCTTCCCAAATGATTTAGTATTTCAATAATTGTTGGGGAATAATAATCCTGACAGATTTTGTTTGTTCAGAAAGAGATCCAGATCAAGCTACAGAATCTGAAGCTGGGGAGAAAGGCCATTGAAGGATCAAAGCAGACTCAGGAGAAGCAAACGGCTGCATATTTGGTAGGTAACTTGTTCATATACAGTACTAAGGAAAACTATAGCAGTTTCTCTTCACTGAAATACATCCCCCACTTTGTTGCATATTTCATCAACTAAAGTAGATTTGAGTGTCTGAAAAATAGTCATGAGCAATTTTTGTCCACTAAATACAGAATGCAGGTTTATAGCCTATAGTTGCCTTTATTTTATTTTATTATTTATATATATAATTTTGTTTATTTTATTTATTTATTTTGTTTTATTTTGTTTTACTTTGTTTTATTTGTTTTATTTTATTTTGCATTTGGGGCATCATGGCTTAGCAGTTAAAGACACTGAGTTTGACAGCTGGACAGCTGACAGCCCAGGCTCAAGACCCAAGTGCTGCAACTAGGTGAGCTCCCATTCCTTTCCCCAGCTCCTGCCCACCTAGCAGTTTGAAAACATGTGAATGTGAGTAGATAAAGAGTTACCATTTTGGTGGGAAGATAACAGCATTCGGTGAACCTTTGGTGTATCACACAACCACAGAAAATATCTCCCTCAGCCAAGAAACAGAGTTCAGCAGTGCAGAGTTGGATAGCACTGGACAGGGAAACTTTGTCTTTTCCCCCCCACTTTATATCTTGTCTTTCCATTAGGAAAGGTGGTTTGCTTGAGTTTTCATTCTGTGAAGGAGGTGAGGCTCTAGTGACTGATTCACCCAAATGAGTTTTGTAAATCTGTAGGAACTTGACCCTGAGTCCTGTAGTCCTGGTATCACAGTCTACCCAAGGGGTGATTTGTCTTTCCAATTCAATATAATTGCTTTGTGTATGTGTCTCTCCAGGAGGAGGAGAACAGAAATCTGCTTAATCATCCCCCCACCTTATGTGCATTCAGGCACATAGAGGTACTCCTTGTTTAACAACCAGTCATTTTACAACCACTTGACTTTTTAACAGCCATGGGACAGGTGCTTTATGGCTTGTAAAGTACCTTGGCCATCGTAAATGCCCTTCCACCCTGCGTTCATTATTCATCGACTGCTAGTTTGGCAGGTCAGCATTACGACCAGTCAGAGAAATTCTGCAGTAACGCAACAGTGATTTGTAATGCCTTTTGCTGATCTCTGGCAAAAAACACTCATTCAAATGAATGAATTCGCTCAAGAGCCATGGCGTTCACTTAACAACTATTGTGAAAAAGGCTGGAAAATTACTTTTGGTCACAAGGGTGCCTCTATGACCAAAAAGTTTTGCAACCTAATTCTGGGCTCAGTTAAGGTTGTAAGCCGAGGGGTATCTGTAATGATAGGCACTAGCAATATATTGACCAATTTAGTATTAATTAATAACAGCAATATTGTGATATGGTGGCAATGTTCCTTTACATAAAATGCTGGTGCTGAAGTATATGGTTAATTATATAGACACAACCTTAGTCTTATTGACTTTTATTTTCTTTCTCTGTCGACTGCAGGAAGACATCAAAGCACAGAGAAGAAAGATTGTGCAGGCCTTCCAGGAACTCCGCTCATTTCTAGAAGAGCAGGAATGTGTCCTCTTGGCTCGGTTGAGTGATCTGGAGAAGCAAGAGGATGAAAGTAGCACCAGACTTTCAAACAACATTTCGCTTCTCAGTGACCTGATCTGTGACCTGGAGAAGCACTGTCAGAGGCCTGCGGGTGAATTTTTGCAGGTGGATGTAGGGTTGTTGCTTTTTTAAACATAAATTGTTGGGGCTGTTTCTCCCTGAACCTAAGCATCTTTGCAAATTCACAACGCAGATTATCATCTTTGCAAAGATGCTTAGGTGGCAAAACAAAGATGATAATCTGCGTTGTGAATTCAGTCGTAATTTCAGTAAGAATCTTGTGACACTGGATTTCCCCAGAATCCCACTGACAGATGTTCTTTCTTTGCAAAATAAATGCAGGGATATAGAACTTTGAACCAAACCTCTTTCTACTCAGTGGAATATTTCTAAGCATTTCCACAGGAATTAACAAACACTGGGTGTTTGTTAATATGATTTCTTGGCTAGGGATATTTCTTTTTCTTTTTGTCTTCACTGTGAGTTGTATTGTGTTGGCGATCTGGACTGAGGGAGCGCAACCAATCTCATTGTACATATGATGTACACTGACATTATTATTATTATTATTGTAACGTGTGGGTTGTTGTGAGGGAATTGACACGCAGGAGCCGTGGTGCAAGACAGATCTTTATNAAAGAAGGATGTTGTATTTGTTTTAAATTAAAAAAAATTAAAATATATTAACTTTGCAACTTTAATAAGATTTGTATAAAATCTTAATAAAATATATTAAAAAACTACACAGATTAAAATAGTATTACTAGAACTGAAACTAAGAGAGCTAAGAGATGGACAGGAGAAAAATGAGGTCTTCTTATCCTATCAGTCACCTCCAGCAATGAGTGGCCTCCACAGGACCCCAGGTCAACCAGCAAAGCCAGATGTTAATACCCATCTGGAGGACCAAAGGAGAGAAGGCAGCTCTCACTTTCTGGTAATAGAATGTTCCATGGGGATGGGGCCACATCACTTCTCCTTGACCCCACCTTCTTCAATTCCTTAGCAGAGGACATACGTAGGAAGTCTCTTCTGCTGGCACAAATGGGGCAAGCTTATACCAATGTGCCAATGTGCCATTGTGGAGAGGCAGCACCTCAAACAACCTGGATCCATGCCATGTAGGGCTTTAAAGGTAACAATCAAGACTTTGAATTGGATCCCGAAGCAAACTGGTAAACAATGCAGCTTGCACAGTAATAGTGTTATATGTGTAATCCTAGGAACTCCCAGGACTGAGCATGCTGCTGCATTCTGCACCAGCTGCAGCTTACAAATACTCTTCAAGGGTAGCTTCATGTAGAGTGTGTTGCAGGAATCCAGCTAAGAAATGACTAGGTCATGAGTGAATATCCATTGGGTCTCAGGATCCAGGTAAGGGCACAATTGCTGCACATCCCAAAGTTGCACCAAATCCTTCCTAGCCACAAGTACCCCTTGCTCTTTGAGCAGGAATCATGAGTCCAGAAGGTCCTATGGGAGAGACACTTTTCTTTAGACCTTGAACTAAAAAGGACATTTAACTCAATAGCCTAAATGGCCACTTTCAACTCCATAGTATTATTATTTTATGAAACCATGAAATAAAGAAGTAGGTTAAAAACTGAAAAGGTAATATTTAAGAAAACTAGTATAACTAATGAACATGAAACCAGCATTGATGAATATGAAAGAGCTTAAAACTCACGGCCACATTTGCATATTAATTCCATAAATAAATAAATAGCATATTCCGTGGCAATTTTTATTTGGCAGAGAATATTATCATATAATGATCTACTTTTAATTCAACTTGTTATTCAACAGGTTTTCTTTCATTATGATTTGTACTGTTTCAGAATAATCTATGTATCAGCTCACAGGAAACCTTTTTTTTTTTTTTTTTTTTTTGGCATTGAACATTTCTAATAAACAGCATTCGTTTGCCACTGGGTTTTGGAAGAACATCCAGGAATTGATCTGCAGAAATTGTTCATTTTCCTTATTGCATATAATTGGCTCATTTTCAATGTACATATTATTTAATTTTCCACAACTGGACCTAGTCTGATATCAAGGGGAGGGGCAGAAACTGGTGTCAACAGCTCTCATATAGCAAAAGTATAGATTTCCTAGAAATCAGGATTAACATTATTTCCTAGAATTGCAACCTGAAGTGAGCAGCAGTGATCCTTTGTCAGTCTTTTCAAGCAAAGGACCTTTTTTTTGGTTGCATAACATGTAAAATGTGCTTAAATGAAAGGGAATACAGTCAAATCTAACCTTATTTTTTATTTTAAACAAAATGAAATGTTTTAAGTATTTCAAATTTTTATATTCTGGCTCTTTATTTATCTAGCTCAAACATTAGAGCAGGGGTGTCAAACATGATTTCATTGAGGGCCGCATCAGGGTTGTGTTTGATCTCAGAGGGCCAGGAGGCGATGGAGCGTGGCCGGTGTGGGCGTGGCCATGGTGGCCATGTGACAAAGGCTCAAGATGCATTTTCCCCCTTTGCGTTCAAAACAGCTATTCCAGACAAAGGAAGATTTACTTTCTGGCACAAATAGTCTCAATTCCATAATATAGAAATTAAATATATCCCAGTTGCTATGGGGCTTGAATTTTTTGTTATAGAAGCAGAGCATAAATGAACTGACAATTTCTCCAGATGTCTCTAAAACCTGTCTGTCCAACAGCTTATCAATCTTTGTTACTATCTCTGACAAAGCCCTAGAGGAGGACTTACTATTGGTAATAATTTACAGCATGTTATAAGTATATTATGTCCACAGTATTTTGCTGGTCTACTAATTTAGTCACTATTTATTAATGGCTGGAGTAGAATGACATTTCTGGGGGGGGGGGGGGGGGGGGGG